GTGTCTAGTGCTAAAGGTGGCCGGATCCGTCAGACTATGCTTCATCATCACCGGATCCCTCAGATGAGGGCCCAGGTGCATTTCACAATAAGACGCTTGGCAGACCAGGCATGACTTCACTGCTGTCTGCTTGTTTTCGCTGCAGATGTCGCAAGGTATTGTGTCAGATTTCAAGGACCGTCGGGAGGTATGTCTCCTTGGTGCTGGCTCTGGTTTGCAATCTTGTTTTGTTTTTATAGATCTTTTTGTTAAAAAAAAAGAAAAGAACATATGTTTAATAAAATGGAAAACAGACATATTTAATGTGTTTAAAATATTGTACTAGCTCTATACCTTTTGAATTGTTCCGTAATGTCTTTTAAGCTTACATTCACCCTGAGGGTTGGTCGGGTTTGGAATGCCTCTTTGCAGAGTGGACATTCACATTTGCGGCTCGCATCCCAGAAACCCTGAATACAATCCATGCAGAAGTTGTGGCCACATGGGATAGACACCGGATCGGTGAAACTATCCATGCAAATGACGCACAAAACTTGGTCCTGAGTCAGAATAAATGCCATGTTTCTGGGTAAGAAAACAAGAGATTCAAGGTTACCTTTTCATGGAAGTAAATCTATAGTTCACATTTCCTGACCACTATATCCACCATGTAGAGTGGTTAAAGGTTTAAAGTCCAGCACATGCTGTAATCCCCTTTTTAATATTTCATAAACCTCTGCATTCAGTTCTGTTTTCATTTTTTTTTTTTTTCACACCCCGGGGATTTTTATATTAAAAAAAACCTAATAAACAAAAAATGTATATCCTGCAGATTTCTCAGTCAAGTAGGAAACAGTTCTGCTCATATTCACACCTGGAAGGTTTTGAAACATGCACAGGACTGCAGGAGGAGAAGGTCAATGTAAATTTATAAATAAAATGAGCTTCCATTTTCCTTTAAAGCACTTAAATCGACCTTATGTTTGAATGATGATATACTCAAAAAATACTGTTACATAAATTAGGTAATTTTTACATTGTTTTTAGGTTTCACAATTTTGGTAACCTTTTTCAAAAATGCAATTATCTGTTTTATTAAATATCCAAAATAAAGCATGGCCATTATGCAAGGTAAAAAAACGGAGAATGTCTTACCTGTAGCAGCCTTCACCAGGTGTGTGACTGTTGCAGCACCAACTGACAGTTATGACATGAAGACATGTGGACTAAGCTACTCCCACAACGGCAATAAGAACTTGTTAGTCCAGTTTTCCTGTCTGTCATTACTGAGAAATTCCTTTACAGACTTGCCCTTTTTTCTATGTTTGCTCCCATAACAGCACACAATGAAAGCAAACATTAAGAAAAAATAGCCCATCCGTATGCATGGGCTATTTTGAAAAGATGGGCTTTCTGACTAGTTTTAAACAGTGAGAGAAAAGGGATGCGCCGCAGGTCAGCATGTAATAGAGGGACTAAAGACCCTGCACCCCATGGTGATGACTGGTGGAGCAGAAAGGAGGCTGAATTATGGGAGTGCATGGCAATGAGGACCAGTAGGTGAAATAAATCTGGAGGGATGAGATTGTGAATAGCTTCGAAAGTGAGTAAAAGAATTTTGCAGAGGATGCAGGATTTAAACAAGAGCCATGAAAGCTTTTGCAGGACAGGAGTGATCTGATTATAAGAAGGATTTTTGATGACAACACAGACGTTTAATCTCTGAACCATCAGTAGGTTGAGAGGAAGAAAAGAAACTAATCAGATTTGGTTAAATGTTTTTTTTGTGTGTTTTTCCGCTGTTTAAATTCAGAAAATATAAAAAACTAGTGATTGAGCTGAATTAGATAAATGGTAAGGTAGAGCGTTAGAGGAAGAGGGAGGGATGGTGGAGCTTAGTTTGGAGTACAGCTGGGTTTCATAAGCCTAGAAATAAAAACAGATCCCAAATTTGCAGATGTTGCCCAGAGAAAGAGGATAAATAACTGGAGGGGCCCAAGGACGGAACCTTGGGGCACACCAGTACACCCTGGTTAGGACTGAGGATGAAAACATTGACTTTAACTGAACTGTGTGCAGCCCTATATACAGGTATATGATATGAACCAGTCTAAAGGGGTATCAGAAATGCAACTAATGTTAGTCTGTAGGATGGAAAGATCAGGGATTTCAAAGGCTGCACTCTGGTTGAGAAAAACAAGGAAAAATTGCCTTTATTCTTTATTCTACGGCAGGATGGTGTGACCAGACATCTCCGTCTATTAATTCTGTGGTTGATAAATTAAAATATTTAGGGGTGAGCAATTCTTCCTTCTCTTACTCAAATAATTAATGAAAATTATAATAAAGTCTTAAATGATACCGATGGAGACCTGAGAAGGTGGGGCTTGATTTCTACTTCCTTTCAAGGTAGACTGTTAGTGATCAAGATGAATATCTTGATATTATTAACTTTGTTATTTCAATGATACCTCTAGCTCCCCCAGGGGGTTACTGGAAAAGCTGTATTCAGTCATAAACACATTTCTATGGAATAAAAAGACACCAAGGATTAAAGTCTCCACTCTACAAAGATCTAAACTGTCAGGGGCATCAGTCTGCCTAACTTTGAATGGTACTCGTGGTTCTTTGTTCAGCGCCAAGATATCCACATTTGTCTTGTTTGATAAACTCCATTATACCCAATAGAATAGTTAATGAAATTATGGGCCAATCATTTCACATCTTTTTAGTATACGACGGAAATTCAATCCTTTTGCAAAAAAACACAGAATAAATTCTTTGCTCAGTCCCTCGTTTTCCACAACTATTCTCTTCTAATTGAGAAGATGCTTATTGCTTTCCCCCGCGTGCCCCGCTTCATCTTATCTTTGATGCAAAAGTTAAAAACAACTGTGCTGTCTTTGACATACATCAATTAATAACCAAAGCTTCATATAAACCTTTAGTACTTAATAGACTCTGGAAAATGGATATTAATGTCTTTGGAAAACTATATGGACAAATCTTTCTCTGTTTTTAAGGAATCTCAGTTATCAGAGAATTCACTTTAAAAGGTCTGATATAAATCCCTGGAAACTAAAACAGATGAAACTTAGGGATAATCAATATTGTTACTTCTGTCCAGGCAATACCATGAATGTCTATTGTCCCCTTGGCTGGCACTGGTTAACCTATTTTGTCACGGTTTCTCAAATACCTTGTCATACTTATACAGGAAAGACCAACCCTGATTCTCAGTCTTTGTTATTACTTAATGACACTTAATCTTTAAAAGTACCTATAAACTCTCACTGTTGGCTGGCCTAACAGCCACTCAAATAATGGTAATTGGTCGTGGGATACCTCCATGCATACTATCAATGAGGGAATGGCTTCTTGCTTACCCAGGCACTGCACAATTGGAGATCTCTACAGCTCGCCTGCATCATGCCAGAATCTCTTATCCAAATTATTGGTGGAAGCTGATAGAAACCTCTGTAAGGTGTATTCCCATCATGCTTCACTAGAATTGTTATCATATCTTTTCTTGACTATCATGGACATACTATGGTACTATTAATTTTTCTAGTAATTTTATTTGCATACATGTGAGTGTATATGTTGCTATCTCTGTGGATGTTGTTATGATTGAAGAAATTGCATTATAGCAGTTATGTATTTCTGTTTTATATCAATTACCTATGCTTGGTCAGTGGTTGCAAGGGCAAAGGGAAGATTGCTCTCTTTTCCCCAAATCTAATTGCTGTGTTGGACGTTATATTTCCTCTGTTGGAAGTGCTGTTGCATTTCGTTTTATTTAAAAGATTTGTTTTAAACTTTGATACAAATTGAAACGCAAACACCTTTTTTCAATGTCTTCCGCTTTGGGTAAATATGTCTGCAAGGAACAGAATTCAAAACATATACATCATTAATTGTACTTGAATGCATTTCCAAGACAGAGAAAAAGTGGGAAGTGGAAGCGATTTATAGTGAAGGCAGACACTCTTGGACTTTTAAGAAATGGATGAAACAGCTGAACTAAAAAAAAACACAAAAATGTTAAATCTACAGTGCACATAGAAGCATGCTGTTTAATCATGTTTTAAAAATAACCCTGTGTTGTCAAAAAGAATTTGCCTTTACAGGTATGTGCATGTACACGTCAACTTTGACAGCCATAATTACAAGAATTTTTCAACATTGCTTTTGTGAAACTGCTTCCAAATCATCACCTCATGACTTTGTTAAAGTATTGCCTGTAGCTTAGATTTTCAGGAAGAAAAATAACTTTTTCCTGATCAGCAGCCTTTGTCATCAGGCATTATGCAATTCTATTTAAAGCTATTCTGGCAATCAATTTGGATATTCTGTCAAAACCCACATCCCATCTTTTACCATATTATAAGGTAATCATGTCCCTCTATTTTAAACAAAGTTCTTATAACTGAAAGCTTTCTGAAAACTTTCAACAAATGGCTGTTTTATCTGAAGCAATCACGTAAAGGGATCTTTAGGATGTTCTAAAGGCAAGACTTTTTTTTTGGTCCACTTTATTAAGTCACAAACTCAAAGCTATTGCTGACATTTTCAATAAAAAAAAAACTTCCTGGATGGGAAGCAAAACGTCTTCAACCTTGGAAATAAAGTACAATGAATTGTTTTTTAACTTTTCTGAATTGGTTCTTATAGTTTTCTGTGCTTTTTTCAAGGTTTATTTTTTTGTAGCTTTCGATTTCTTTGCAAAATATGTAAATGATAAAATGCAAAATATTAAAGGCAACAAATCTAGGATCCGAACCTGTTGAACAACAATTCCAGATATATATATATATATATATATATATATATATATATATAT